GAAATAATTCCTTGAAAATAGTAAACCTACCTTATTGTAAGTGTTATGTCTATATTGTACAATTATTTTTACTTTGAAGTCGGTGTCAGTGAATGTAGATTCATTACTTAATTGTTACTATACTTTCAATTGTCAATTGTTATGGTAAAAATATGGAAACCCTAACGTAGAAACATCACTGCATACCTTGGCTGACACCGACATCAAAGTAAAAATAATTGTACAATATAGACATAACACTTACAATAAGGTAGGTTTACTATTTTCAAGGAATTATTTCGTTACTTTTTAGTGTACTGTTTTTTTTGAGAATATTTTTTTTTTACATAATCTAACGCAATTTCACTTCGACTTGCTCGTGTTACTGTTTCTAATTTATCGATCTAAATTTTCTTTGTCTAGTTACAATATAACAGACATTTGTCGTCATTTGTACAAAAATTATTGCTGCCTCAGTTATTTTCAAAGAAAAGTAGGGGATGCCAATCTGATTTTGTCATCAAATAAACTTAGCTAGTTATTCAGTTTGATGCTGTATTCTGTCTGCTGGTTTTTCTACTTGAATTATGTATTTTTACATATTTTATCGTAAAACATTCAATCTTAGTTATCGTCAAGTTTTAGTCCTCTGTGGTTGCGATGACAACTAGCAAAACTAAATATATCTTTCAATTTACTTGAAGTGATGAAAATAGATAAGAAGGGAGGCTTTTAGCCCACGCCTTGGGGACCGATAAGTCTTCGCAATCCGCCGCCGGGCAGACACCGTCGCGGGATTTAATATAACCTATTAATAGCTAAGCCAGAGACCTTTCACGTGTTAATAAATCTTTAAGTTAAATAAAAGCACGTTTTGACGTTTTTTTACTAAACCATGACGTCACAATGTTCCATATTGTTACATAAATATTTAATAGATTTTCTTTTTGTTTTCAGATTTCGGTTTGGCCAAAGAATATATAGACTTAGAGACAAACAAACATATCCCATATCGGGAGCACAAGTCGCTCACCGGGACCGCGAGATACATGTCAATAAATACACATTTAGGGAAAGGTAAGCCTTTTTTCCTCTTTGTCTGTATTATTTATTATATTTATTATACCATGTTATAATGGCGTTCAAAATGTTAATTTTCTTTTAAAAACCGTTAAGGCCAGATTACCGCAATAAACTATTAAGATATTTCTTTGCATTCGCTTTCTATTATAGATTAGAAAATTAGTTTAAACACGATTTGGCCCATATTAAGTTCATATGTACTTAACACAATCAATGCCACAAAAATTTTCATTGTTATTAATGAGTTAATTTAATTATTTCCAGAACAATCGAGACGCGACGACCTAGAAGCCCTCGGGCATATGTTTATGTATTTTTTACGTGGTTCCTTACCCTGGCAGGGATTAAAAGCTGATACACTTAAAGAGCGATACCAAAAAATCGGCGATACCAAACGGGCGACACCGATCGAGGTCAGTATAACAACAGATAAATAAAAATGTCCTAATTTAGCGAGAATAACTTTTAAGGTCACCGTCAGATTCCCTAACAATACATTATCATGAACTTGCCCTTTCTCCCTAC